GGGGTCACGAAGAGTCGGACACGACTTAACAACTAAACAACAACAACAAAAAGAAGGAATGGGCAACTTGAGGACTTTGGCCTTGTTTCAAAAGCTGGTGGCAAACGTTCAGTCTGGCAAGAACAATCATCTGTCCCTTTTCCAGGACGTGGTAATTGAGGCAGAATTGAGACAGAATGGGTTGTTAGAAAGAGTGAGGAAAAAGAAAAAGTGAGTGACACAGAGATGGAGAATAGGGGTGTTCCTGTTCACTTTTGGCTCAACCACAGATTGTCTTGATCATCTCTGATCCCTCCTGAAGGAATGCAGTCCTTGAAAGAAAAAAGTTCAGCCTCAGCCAAGGCACTGTATGGTAGTAATAAACATTTCGCCTTTGCAATAGGTGTGAAGGATTTAGTTTAAGCACACAATTGAATGTCCACAAAACTACTGAAACCAGCAGACATCATTTCAAAGGACTTGTGGGCTATTTGGCTTTATATAAAAGGAAAGCTTTAAAGCAGAGGTCCCCAACCCCCCCCCCTGGTCTGCGGCCCGGGGCCGGTCCGTGGCCTGAGCTGGACCAGGCCATGGAGATAGACATCCCCTCACCCCCACATGCATTCCCCCCCGCACAGCCTGTTTGCGCCTGCATGTGAGTGCCCGTGCACAAGCGCTCGTGCACCTGCACAAGTGTGTGCTGCCCTTTGTGCATGTGCACGAGCAAGTGCCTGTGCGAGCACTGAGCCACCCTTTTGTGCATGCGCACTAGCGCAGGGGGGTGCCCCGCCTCTCCCAGCCAGTCCATGGGGCTAAAAAGGTTGGGGACTGCTGCTTACAATGATGATACGTTTTAGCATTGGTTCTGCTAAATACTAGTACTGTACATGATAATGAGTAGGAGAGCAATGGCCTATCAAGACAAATTGTTAGCATCAATTGTTGCCATAGAATCATACAACTATAGAGCTGGAAGTGTCCCCGAGGATAATCAAATCCAACCCTTTGTTGAAACAGGAAATTCACGGTTTAAGACTCCTTGACAGGTGACCATTTAATCTCCATTTTGAAACTTCTAATGAAGGAGAGTCCAACACCTTCAAAGGTAATCCATAGTGTAAGGAAGATCTACCCGTGTCACTCGTGCAAGCCAGGAGGTGAGGCTGAGGAGCCTAACGCCGAGGGAGGCTGGGAAGGAAAAGACAAGAAATCGGGCCTTCTCAGCGGTGGCTCCTCACCTCTGGAACAACCTACCTCTGGAGATTCGCGTGGCTCCCTCGCTGGGTATCTTTAAAAATCAATTAAAAACATGGATGTTTTGGCAGGCCTTCCCTCCAGTCAATTCCTGATGCTTTCCTTTCTTCCTCTCCCTATTGTTTGCCCCATCTTGTTGAAATGTGTTCTATTATGTAAAAACTGTTTCATATACAGTACAGTGGTGCCTCGCTTAACGAGCGCACCGCATAACGACGAAATC